ACCATGACTTCGACTGGGACAACACCAAGATCCTGGGACAGGCTAGGCAGAGACAAGCACTAGAATTCCTGGAAGCATGGCACTGCATGAAGCATGGCACTCCATGAAGCATGCTATTAATAAACACATTGAACTCGACCCCATATACATTCCACTACGAAGGAAAACTGGAAGTGAGGCAATCCATCTCAGTGGACCCCAGAGTTTAAAAACCAGGCGGGAAAACACACCGACGCTTTATTGGAGGCTGCGCTGAGGATGTTACCAAGCATGGTAACGAAACGTCTGCAAAATAACAAACCAGGTCGGCGAGCCAGCCAACCAACCTCAACACCCACAACCCAAGCTACAGATCCACTCCAAAACCTTAGAAGCCATATCCCATCCTGACTTGAAATTCTGTTGCTGTTCCTTAACTATCACTAGGTCAAAATCCTGGAATTCCCTTCCAACTAACACTGACTCTATCTGCACTGCAAGGACAGCAGCAGTTCAAGCATGTAACTGGCCACCAACTTCTTCAGGGTAACTGGAGAGCCACTTCAGGGAAGGTGGTAACGTAATGGTAATGTCACTGGGTTAGCAATTCACAAGCCCAATTGAAAGCTCTAGAGACAGAAGACCAAATCCCAGCATGGTGGTTGGTGGAGTTTGAATTGGTAAAATCTAGAAATGAAAACCAGTTGAGTAATAGTGACCAGCAAAACATTGCTGACTGTTGTAGAATCCCACCTGGTTGTCTAATGTCCTTTATGGAAGGAAATCTGCTGTTGTTACTCAGTGTGGCGTACATGAGACTTTTTACTGTCCTCTGAAATGTCTGAGAAAGTTACTCAGTTGTATTAAACTTCTGTGAAGTCAAAAATAAGTTAAATACATTTCCTAAAAGGAATGTGGGTGTACCAATGCCACAAGGATTAGTTCAAGATGGTAGTTTATCACCACCTTAAGGGCAATTAGCAATTGGTAATGCATGTTGGCCAAGCCAGCTACACTCTCTTCCTGTGAATAAATGAATAAAAATGTACTTAAACTGATATGTCAGCACTGAATAACCACTGCACCTATATATGTTTGAACAGGAGTTTCAAAACCATATCTATCAGGACCTGTAAATTAAGTTAATGGTTTGGATAAACTATAGAATAACTATAGAAAAAATGAATACTCTAGGAATTGATCTTGTTTTAAACAGAAAATATGTGAAAATAGCTTGAAGATGTAATACAGTTATTTTGTTTAAGAAGGTGGATTGAACTGTTTAAAATTCAGATAAGTAGACTCGTAGAATGTGGACACCTTGCAGCTATTTTAATTTGATGAAATATTTCAAAGGTAATTGATCTCCCTAACCTTTTCCAGGTCTACTTCCCACTCCACCCTTCAAAACTCATTTTAAAACCTTAATCATTCATATATTAGCCTACATTCCTTTACCCTCTATAAAGTAGTTTGTACTACTTTTAGGTAGAATTTATACAAAATATTTTGGTGTTTAATTCACTGCCATTTGTCTTCCAAGAATGTCTACCTTGGAAGAAGTTCTGTTATTCTCAATTACTGAATTTCTGTTTTTCTGGTCATTTCCTGTCTTCTTATTTATGTTTCATTAAGTACCACCAAGACTCACGATCACATCTAAGTCTGTCCTGAACACCTGTCTCCTGATCTGACTTATTTTGCTTGGATCAAACTTAAATTCCACCTTTCATATTTCAAATCCAACCTTGATCACAGATTCTTCCCCTCTCCCATTTCTGAAGAAGGGTCTAGACCCGAAACGTCAGCTTCCCTGCTTCTCTGATGCTGCTTGGCCTGCTGTGTTCATCCAGCTCTACACCTTGTTATCTCTTGATCACAGATTATCTCCTGAAACCTAGGCCATTATCATCATGTGAACACTGTTGAACTCTACCTTGGCAGCGCTGATTCACTTTATTTCAAAGTTGCCCTGGCCTACCTCTGCATTTCATCTTCGTCTTTTCCACCACTTTAACAAAAATCTGTTTTTCTACTTTCTAGGTCTGAAGATGTTAAAGCTCTGAGCAACAAAGGGTCTGGGTGTCTTGGTGCATTAAAAACAAAAAGTTAATATGCAGGTTCAGCAGTTAATTAGACAGGCAATCAAATTTTATTATAAATTGTAATGGAATACACAAGTAGGAGATATTTAGCTAGTGTTGTACCGGGCATTGATGAGGCCATATCGACTGTACTGTTAAAGCTTTGGTTTCCTTGGTTAAGAAAGGACATTAGAAGCAGTTCATGGAAGTTTCAGTCTAGTCATTCCTGGAATGAGGAGGTTACCTTCTAAGGAAGGGTGGAGTAGGTTAGGTCTATATTCACTGGAGATAAAAGAATAAGAGAGGATCTTAATAGAACTGGAAAAGCTGAGCAGGTCTGGCAGCATATGAAGAAAAAAATCAGAGTTAACTTTTCGTGCCCGGTGACCCTCCCTCAACACAGTGTTCTGAGGAAGAGGCACCAGACCCGAGACGTTAACTCTGATTTTTTTCTTCACAGATGCTGCCAGACCTGCTGAGCTTTTCCAGCAACTTTGTTTTTGTTCCTGATTTACAGCATCTGCAGTTCTTTCAGTTTTTCTTAATTGAACTGATGGTTTTGAGAGGAGTTGACAAGATAGATGTTGAGAGGATGTTTCCCATGAGAAGCCTAAAATTAGGGGGCACAACCTAAAAAATAATGGATCTCCTGGGTACACACAGAACAGATTAATTATTGTATCAGTCCTGTTTCCTGCTCACATTCTAAAATGCAAACCTTTCATTCACCTTGCTTCTAACTTCCACACTTCCCAACCTTCATGTCGTCCATCTTTAGTTCCTACTTTCCCTTCCTCAATTTCTTTATCTCCATTTCAAAGAAGAGCTATTGATCAATATCCACTACAAGTCCACTGACTGTCACAGGTAGTTTCTTCCCATTTTGCTTAATAGAACGACTATGTTTCTACCTTTTAGTCATAGCTGATGATGAGACTTACTATGCCACTGTAAAGGATATTACGTAATGAATGGTGAACAAAGGATACTAGTTTGAATGAAAATATACAAAGGCAAGTACGGTATCGCATCTCCTGTACTGGAAGGTGTTGTGGGAAGGAGAGTGATTGTTGAGAGTAATTGAGAAGTGAACCAGAATGTTGAACAGGGTAAGGTCGCTTTGGAATTCTAAGCGCCGAGGGGAGAAAGTATTTGATGGTGGTGTCACAGTGGAGGTTTGAAAGATGATCTGTTGAATATGGAAACTAGTCAATTGGAAAATGAAGACCAGGGGATTGCTTCAGAGATAGTAGGAACTGCAGATGCTGGAGAATCTGAGATAACAAGGTGTAGAGCTGGATGAACACAGCAGGCCAAGCAGCATCATAGGAGCAGGAAGGCTGACGTTTCAGGCCTAGACCCT